TTTCTTAACACATAACTGTTAATAGACTAGTTGTGCTAAACGCGCCCCATAATTTTAGATATGCAATTACATTTTAATTAATGGCGAATAGCTAACAGAGGCTGAGCGACATGTTGTCAGCAGGCAGGCGAAGAGGCGAAAGAGAATGAGACTCAGTTATTAGCTATTTACACTAGGTATATTGCTAAGCTGTGATTGGTTAATTTTAGGTTGGTATCTAACTTGGAACGATCTCGAATTTATGAGAACAGATGAATTTAGGAAAAGAGCATAAAATCTAGAATCGTTAATTTTGAGGTCGCCAATTATTTCCTAAAACAGCCATCGTAATTTGTTATATCTTACATATATGTATATATATATATATATATATCAAAATTTATTTAAATATACACATATGTATAGATATAGATATATATATTGTGTGTGTATAAAGTATTAGTAGTAGTGCGCCATGGCGATACTTTCTGAGCACAAGATTTTTAGCTATCTGTACGGAGTGTATTTGCTAAAGGCCAAACTTTAAGAAGAGGTGGATTGGCAGTTCAAACCATATTTATGCATCTAAATTAAATACTGAAGAACATATTACCACAATTCCTGGGAATACAAGAGAATTAAAAAAAATATATTAAAAAAAGAAAATCTGAAAGGTTTCAGATTTTAAATTACGCCCAAAGGGGCGTTTTTTTAAAACATTTTGTGTGTTACCTTTATTTACTAAATATCATGTCTTCGCACTTAAACGATAAAATTCAGTTCAAGAGCAATATCTCAAAATAATTTTCAATTGAGCATATCTTTAGAATTTCCGATGCAAAGTCTCGCGCGCTGGAGATAAAAATGGTTTTTCTGTACAGCGTTGCCATTGCTCGCTTTGAAATCCTTGAGTTTGTTAATCAAAAATATGTTAACGTTTTACAAAATATGAAATCAATAATAAAACAAATTCCAAATTTCAAATTTGGGCATCCATATGCCAGAATTACGCCATTCAAAATTGGATGCAGAATTACGCCATTCGCAGCAGAATTACGCCATTAAAAATTGGATGGCTCTAGGTACTGTTGTTTTATCAGAGTGGGAGAAACATACACACATTTATGCAGATTCTTCATTATTTAATTTCTTTAAATATAATTCAGGGCAATGATATTTGGTGGCAACACTTTGAAAAGTGAAACGGGCATTCAAAATGATTCGACGCAAAATCGCAAAACGAAAACAATAGTCCCTCAGGAACAAAGCCCCTTTGGACTAAGGAAAAAAAAACCCGCTTTAATCTAATAACAACCAGCATGAATATAAATAAGAATAAAACTATTGTCCTACATACTTGAAATGCACTACAATTTAGTGTTTATATGCATATGAATTCAATTTTCAGTTCCAGACGGTCATCTTTAAATATGAAAATGTACTATATGTCTATGGAATAATACCAATATGCGGAGAAGTTGAAAGTTGCATATTTTTCCCTTTCAACAATATTGGCACACCTTTGTATTGTGCACAGTATTGTCTACAGTGCATAAATTAAATACTATTGAATTGTGTTGGGTTCAAATTTCTTGAGATCATAGAAGTGCAGTTAAGAAATGCCCTGAACGTATTCGATACCCTATAACGGCCAAGAAAATATGCTTGCTTTTTTATGTTCCAGGTTTAGTGGAGGACAGAATTCGTTTCACTACCACATTCACACATTTTTGTGTTTCTGAGGCCAAACCTGTGAAAATATATTTGAAAAGGCCCATGGCTAGTGAGAAATTGAGTTGCACTTGTTTTTTGGGGGACATCAGTTCAACATCTCCTTTTGGTAACATACTGTTACGAATTTGGTATTTAAAAAGCTAATGTTAGTTCAATTATAAATTAAATGGTTTTATTTCTCGCGCAGTGCAGCGCGTGACGAATATTAAAAGAAAGCTAAGCCGGAAAAATTAAAAATACAAGAGCGCGTGCATTCAAATAAATAAATATCTCTTTTTGATTTCGAGAAAGTACTGAAAAAATTCTAGCGCGTGATTTTAAAATCTTATAAAAGGAGGAAAAAAGGAGGAAAACATCTCAGTTTGTAGTAGTTGCTTAGTTTTGGTTGTTGTTTAGAAAACTGCTCTTGTTGATAGTAGCGAATTCGCGGATTAGCGTTCTTTAGCTGTTTTGAATTACGTTCTATTGTACATTTGAGTAGTTAAAAGATAACTACTGTGAGCTATTGTAATACTGCATGATAATTTGAGAAAATTTAAGCATTTTTGTTGTGATAATAATAAATTTTTGTTCATTTTTCATCGGACTTGTGCATTCATTTCATAACGAACCCGTACGCACGCAACAATACTATACGTCCTACATATTATGCATATAGCTGTGGTATCAGTTAGTTCATTACAGCCACCAGAGGGATCACCTATGCACCGACAGCGAGAGCGAGGTGAAAGATAGACAGATGTTGATTCCACGCGAAGGTGGTAACAAACGAACTCTGTTAAAATAGCAAGCGCGAGTAGACGCTGTGTAGCTATTTAAATACTTAAAGTCATGCAGAACTGTATTTGTATCTTATCGAGCGCGACAACGCGCAACGGTACTGTTATTTAATTCAAATCTATAGCTTTTCGATTATTATTCATTAAATATTTTGTGGTGCGGACGTGTGGAAGTGTTATATTCTTAAGGATATCATCTTCAACTCCCCACCCACATATATGTTTAGTATATGCGTCGTTGATGTTCGCATACTTATTGTTTGTATGGGTGGTATACATATCCGATAGTTTTGTATTATATCACATACATGGCATGCATGCTGTTGTTGCCAGTAGAATGTTTAATTACAAAGTTATTTTTGGTATGTTTAAAGAATACAGCAAAATTTCTGCCACAGTGAACTTTCTACATAATTTTATTTAATCAAGAGTAATGTGGGCTGTACTGTGTCCTTAAATCTGTTATCTGTATTTTGTATCGTAAAAGTGCAGCATAAAGTAACCAACGTGTATTTCTGCATTGTGTAATTTGATTGTAATGTGTAACTTTACTCTTTATTTAAGCCTGTTGCATCAAAAACTATGTCGTATATAACCAAGTTATGAACCATATAATCAAGTTATATAATCAATTACATTATTAAGAATCTATGTTGAATTGGCAAGAGTAATGTTCAGCATAATATGTAGCATAGAATATTTAATGTATTAAGTGTGGCAATGAATTTTGTAAATGTGTCTTAAGTACAGTGCAATGATAAATGCAATACCTATTATAAAATGCAGAGTGTAACGAGTATGTGCAGCAGTGTGTTAACATGCGATGTAACTAGCAGAATGTTTAATTTCGCATAGAGAAAAATCTAATACTTTGCCCTTGTATTGTTTTCGGAGTGTCGCTTCAGATAGTTGCGGGATTCGCACGTTTCCCAATGAGTCTATTAAAGACGCCCGGGTGTCCGGACCTGCTGTCACCTGTGATCTGTTGTTGCACATTTTATAACTTAATAAACCTTTAAATTATGTCTCTATTTTTATGATGCATCATAAAAATACAAGTACCTGCGTATTTTAGAGCCATTAGGCACTTTTTTGGAAGCAGGAGAAATGAAAAATGAGCAACACCATTGCCGGAAATCGAACCACGGACCTCTGGAAACCCGCCGAGCGTGCGAAGCCGAGCACGGAAAGGCGAGAGAAATATCTTATATACTCCCCCTTTTAAAGAGCGACTGGGGTTTTTAGGGGACCCAATCGCCAAATCCTGAGTGAGGAGAATCATCACCCACCCCCCTGTTAGTTCGGGCGTCACTGTAGAGACATTATTTTTTAGAAGAAGGTAAGATGAAAAATTAGCAAACACCTTCGCCGGGAATCGAATCACAAACCTCTGGGTACCGGCCCAGCGTGCAGACCCACTACACCACTAAGGCACGCTAGGAAGGCGAGAGAGAAATACCTTACAATATTCTTTCCGCACTTTATAGTATATTTACCATAAAATTGTATCTTATAATTCCATCCATACAAATTTAAACCATGTGCCATGCTTGTTGTATTTTAATTACTTGAATTATCGCAACTTGCATATTTTGCCTTTTGATGTTAACATAACCTGTAACCATTTTCAGCATACATTGTTATCAAACTTCCTGATTAGTTAATTATGTAACATTTTTTATTAGTATCGTAGTGTTTTGTATTTCAAACTCGTATGCTTTACTTGGTTATATATGACATATATATATCTTCAATCTTTCATATTATTTTATGGACACTGTATGTGTGCTTATGTGTATCGTGTATACACTATATTTTCCTGCATTTCTCAACTAATTGTTGTCACATTATCAAGTATGTGAGCAAAGTTTGCGCTCGAACTTATTACTTTTAAGTTACTTTTTTCTGTTTCGTTTTTCTCTTTCAATTCGCCATACAAATTTCTTATTTTTATCCTGTAATATAGGATGCAGATTACATCTGTTGGATTAATAATCATACTCGCACGGTTAACACCAAGGGAAAGGAAGATTGCGGTGGAGTTATAATCTGTAATGATGTTTAATAAAGGCATTTAATGTATAAACAATAAATAAGAATCCAAGTGACTCATAGATCTCTTAAACATTAACATTTTTCTTTAGAATAATTTTTAAATAAGTGGATGATGCAGTTACTATCATGACCTCCCAGCTACATAGAAATGTAAATTATTTACCTAAAATGCATAATAATAATTAAATAATATTATATATGGAGTGTAATTTTATTTAAATAATTGTCCATCAGAAAGGTTGTATGTGTCTGCCGTACGTTCCCAGAAAATATATTTTTAAATTGGTAAGTTATCGAAAGTATTGGTGTATATATCTGTTAAACTTTGATTACGATATCTTTCATTTCGGTTATATTTTGGGCAAAGCTAGAAATTTAAAATATAAATTTAATGAAATTACACGAATAAATGCAGCAATGAAACATTTTTTGATTAAACAAAAAATTCTGAAATAGATGCAAGAAAAATTTTATTTAGTTCACAACAATTACGGATTACAGGAAATTTAAGGATTACAGGATTAAATTTTACTTTAAATACAATTTAAAGGAAAAAATAGGCTAAATATCTCATTATAAAGCATACAGAAATGCGGAAGCGTTTCAACCAGATACGGAAGACAAAGCTCTAGCTAAATTCCCTACAACAAAGGAAGTCGAAGAGGTATTTACCGAGCGAATTTGAGCAGAGCTGGCAACTTGCAAAAGGGCAGCAATAGTCTCAATCAGGGTTTCCACCACAGCTTCCGAAGACGACGCTCCACTATTAAGCATATTTGAAATGTTAGCAACAAGTCTTGAACCAAACGCATTCATATCAACGCCTTTAGGTCCAATTGAGCTAACAATTGCAGATGTAAGAGAATTCACTCTAGAAGTGACATCAGGGGAACGCAGTGCAGCTGGCAAAGTAAAGGGAGCTGAGCTATCAGGCGAAGCAGCGGAGAGTCCACCGAAGTCAAGACCAGATTCTGATATCCTTTCAGACACACCTGAGATGCCGCGAGAGATTTCCGAGAGACCTTGGGAGACTCCATCACGTAACGGCAGGGATACGGATGGTGTCTGGCTAGATGATGTACCTGAAGAGAAAGCAGAGATAGAAGTAGAAATATCTGATCTTACATCAACTCCTGACACATCAACACCAGCTTGTCTTGCTCCAGAATAGGCGCCTTGAACTACAGAAGACAGAAGAGACGATCCGATGTCAGAGGCATTCGAAGAGGTCAGTCGGCCAGCAGCTGCTAGTTGTGCAACAAGAGCCGATGCAATAGCCAGAGCATAAACACGTGTGTCCGATCCACTTCTTACACCCGAAAGGGCTTGCATTATTGCGTTTCTACATTTTGCAGCAGTGCCGTAATCTAACTGCAAGCTGGAAGCAATGGACTGCATTAGTGCTGCAGCTATTCTGTTTGCGACGGAAGATGAAACTCTGCCATTGAAAGCGCGTTGGAAGATATTAGATCTCAACAATGCAGTTGCAAGATTATTTGCCACATCGGAAATAACACCGGAAGACACAGAACCAACGGAGGGTGCACCATAATCAGCACCAGGGCCAGAGATACCTTCAGAAACTCCTGAAACACCTTGTGAAATATCTGAGATGCCTTCAGCCAACAGTGAAGATATCTCTCTCTCCTGAGAACCCGTAGGACCTACTCCGTATGCAGAAATTGAAGAGGAAATATCTGATGACACATCAACTCCTGAGACGTCAACACCAGCTTGTCTTGCACCCGAATACGTACCTTGAACTACACCCGACAGAAGTGAGGTTCCGATACCAGACGCATTCGAAGCATTCAGTCGGCCAGCAGCTGCTAGTTGTGCAACAAGAGCCGATGCAATAGCCAGAGCATAAACACGTGTGTCCGATCCACTTCTTACACCCGAAAGGGCTTGCATTATTGCGTTCCTACATTTTGCAGCAGTACCGTAATCTAACTGCAAGCTGGAAGCAATGGACTGCACTAGTGCTGAAGCTATTCTGTTTGCGACGGAAGATGAAACTCTGCCATTGAAAGCGCGTTGGAAGATATTAGATCTCAACAGTGCAGTTGCAAGATTATTTGCCACATCGGAAATAACACCCGAAGGCACAGAAGCAGCGGAAGGTGCACCGTAGTCAGCCCCAGGTCCAGAGATACCTTCAGACACTCCTGAACCAGCTTGAGAAATATCGGAGATGTCTTCAGCCAACAGTGAAGATATCTCTCTCTCCTGAGAACCCGTAGGACCTGCTCCGTATGCAGAAATTGAAGAGGAAATATCTGATGACACATCAAGTCCTGAGACGTCAACACCAGCTTGTCTTGCACCCGAATACGTGCCTTGAACTACACCCGACAGAAGTGAGGTTCCGATACCAGACGCATTCGAAGCATTCAGTCGGCCAGCAGCTGCTAGTTGTGCAACAAGAGCCGATGCAATAGCCAGAGCATAAACACGTGTGTCCGATCCACTTCTTACACCCGAAAGGCCTTGCATTATTGCGTTCCTACATTTTGCAGCAGTACCGTAATCTAACTGCAAGCTGGAAGCAATGGACTGCACTAGTGCTGAAGCTATTCTGTTTGCGACGGAAGATGAAACTCTGCCATTGAAAGCGCGTTGAAAGATATTAGATCTCAACAGTGCAGTTGCAAGATTATTTGCCACATCGGAAATAACACCCAAAGGCACAGAAGCAGCGGAAGGTGCACCGTAGTCAGGCCCAAGGCCAGAGATACCTTCAGACATACCTGAAACACCTTGAGAAATATCTGAGATGCCTTCCGCCAACAGTGAAGAAAGCTCTCTCTCCTGAGAACCCGTAGGACCTGCTCCGTATGCAGAAATTGAAGAGGAAATATCTGATGACACATCAACTCCTGACACGTCTACACCAGCTTGTCTTGCACCAGAATACGTGCCTTGAACTACACCCGACAGAAGTGAGGTTCCGATACCAGACGCATTCGAAGCATTCAGTCGACCAGCAGCTGCAAGTTGTGCAACAAGAGCCGATGCAATAGCCAGAGCATAAACACGTGTGTCCGATCCACTTCTTACACCCGAAAGTGCTTGCATTATTGCGTTTCTACATTTTGCAGCAGTGCCGTAATCTAACTGCAAGCTGGAAGCAATGGACTGCACTAGTGCTGCAGCTATTCTGTTTGCGACGGAAGATGAAACTCTGCCATTGAAAGCGCGTTGGAAGATATTGGATCTCAACAGTGCAGTTGCAAGATTACTTGCCACATCGGAAATAACACCGGAAGGCACAGAACCAACGGAGGGTGCACCATAATCAGCACCAGGGCCAGAGATACCTTCAGACACTCCTGAAACACCTCGTGAAATATCTGAGATACCTTCTGTAAACTGCGAAGCTGCAGATATATCCTGACCTGCGGTAGAACTCGCCCCATATGCAGATATGGAAGAGGAAATGTCTGAGGACACATCAACTCCTGATACATCCACACCAGCTTGCCTTGCACCAGAATAAGTGCCTTGAACCACACCTGAGAGCAAAGAAGATCCGATGCCTGATGCATTCGATGCATTCAGTCTCCCAGTAGCTGCTAGTTGGCCAGCAAGAGCTGATGCAACCGCCACAGCGTAAACACGTGTGTCCGATCCAGTTTTTACACCGGAAATTGCTTGCAATATTGCGTTTCTACATTTTGATGCCGTTGCGTAGTCTAGCTGCAAACCAGAAGCAATGGACTGTGCAAGAGTTGAAGCTATTCTGTTTGCGATCGATGATGAAACTCTGGCATTGAAAGCTCGTTGGAAGATAGTAGACCTTAATAAAGCAGACACGAGGTTATTTGCTACATTGGATATTACGCGAGACGGCACAGCAACACTGGAGGATGCAGGATAGCCAGCCCCGGGACCAATGACTCCTTCAGATGTTGATGAAATTCCTTGAGATATATCTGAGATGCCTTCAGCCAACAGTGAAGTAATTGGTGTTTCCGAAACACCGGTAGGACCTGCGCCGTATGCAGAAATTGAAGAGGAAATATCTGATGACACATCAACTCCTGACACGTCAACACCAGCTTGCCTTGCACCAGAATACGCACCTTGAACTACACCCGACAACAGTGAGGATCCTATGCCGGACGCATTTGAAGCATTCAGTCTGCCAGCAGCTGCTAGTTGTGCAGCAACAGCAGTTGCGATAGCCAAAGCATAAACACGTGTTTCAGAGCCCGTTCGTACACCGGAAAGTGCTTGCATAATTGCGTTTCTACATTTTGAAGCCGTCCCGTAGTCTAACTGCAAGCTAGAAGCAATAGACTGTGCTAGTACTGCCGCTATTTTGTTTGCAATTGATGATGTAACTCTGGCATTAAAAGCGAGCTGGAACACGTTAGACCTCAGCAAAGCAGACGCCAGTTTATTTGCGACGTTCGAAACTATGCTAGAGGGCACAGCACTACCGGAGGGTGCACCATAATCAGCACCGAGGCCACTCATACCATCAGAGAGTCCTGAAGTGCTTTGCGAAATACCTGAACTGCTTTCAGTCAACAGTGAAGTGACATCTAATGCTTGACTAGTTGTTCGACTTGTTCCGTATGCAGAAAGGGAAGAGGAAATATCGGATGACACATCAATTCCTGACACATCGACACCAGCTTGGCTTGCTGCAGAATAGGCACCTTGAACTATACCCGATACGAGTGACGATCCAATACTAGCTGAGTTCGATGTGTTAATACGGCCAACAGCTGCTAGTTGCCCAGCAAGAGCCGAAGCGATAGCCAGAGCATATGTGCGTGTTTCCGATCCACTTCTTACACCGGATATTGCTTGCATTATGGCATTTTTACATTGCGAAGCCGTTGCGTAGTCTAACTGCAAGCTGGAAGCAATCGACTGACCTAATGCTGCAGATATTCTGTTTGCGACGGAAGATGAAACTCTGGAATTGAACGCTCGTTGGAAAACTTTAGATTTCAACAAGGCAGATGCCAAATTGTTTGAAAACTCCGAAATTACGCCAGACGGCTCAGCACCACTGGAAGGAGCACCATAATCAGCCGCAGGGCTAGTGAAACTTTCAGATACTCCTGAAACTGTTTGAGAAATATCTGAGATTCTTCCAGTAAACTGCTGAGGGCCAGTTATATCCAGACCAGCAGCAGATCGTGCTCCGTATGCAGAAATGGAAGAGGAAATATCTGATGTCAAGTCAACTCCTGACACATCTATACCAGCTTGCCTTGCACCAGAATATGCACCTTGAACTGCACTAGACAGCAGGGAGGAGCTGATGCCAGACGCATTCGAAGCGTTCAGACGACCAGCAGCTGACAATTCCGCAACAAGTGCTGATGCAATAGCCATAGCGTATACTCGTGTGTCGGATCCACTTCTTACACTGGAAAGAGCTTGCATTATAGCACTTCTACATTTGGAAGCCGTTCGATAGTCCAACTGCAAATTGGTACAAATGGACTGCGCTAGTGCTGCCGCTATTCTGTTTGCAACTGACGATGAAACTCTGGCACTGAAAGCGCGTTGGAAGACATTAGATCTTAACAAAGCCGATGCAAGGTTATTTGAAACGTCGGAAATTACATCAGAGGCAAGAGAACCACCGGACGGTACACCATAATCAGCACCGGTGCCAGCTATAACATCAGTGACTCCTGAAACGCCTTGCGAAACATCTGAGATGTCTGCAGTAAACTGTGATCCTGCAGCTAGATCCTGACCAGGGGTAGATCCAGCACCATATGCAGAAATAGAAGAGGAGATGTCTGCAGACACATCAACTCCTGACACATCGACGCCAGCCTGCCTTGCACCAGAATAGGCACCTTGAACCACACCTGACAAAAGAGAGGATCCGATGCCAGACGCATTTGAAGCGTTTAATCGACCAGCAGCGGCTAATTGGGTAACAAGAGCTGATGCAATAGCCTGAGCGTAAACACGTGTGTTCGATCCACCTCTTAAACCTGAAAGTGCTTGCATTATTGCGTTTCTGCATTTTGTTGCCGTTGCGTAGTCTAACTGCAAAGTGGAAGCAATGGACTGCGCTAATACTGAACCTATTCTGTTCGTGACGGATGATGAAATTCTCGCATTGAATGCGTGTTGGAAAACATTAGATCTCAACAAGGCAGATGCCACATTATTCGCAACGTCGGAAATTATGCCAGAGGGCAGTTCACCTACGGAAGGTGCACCATAATCAGCCCCAGGACCAGCAAATCCTTCAGAAACTCCTGAAACTCCTTGAGAAACGTCTGTGATGCCTTCAGTGAACTGCTGAGCGGCAGTTATACTCTGACCGGCTGTAGAACCTGCTCCAAATGCAGAAATGGAAGAGGAAATATCTGATGACACATCAACTCCTGTCACATCGACACCAACTTGCCTGGCACCAGAATATGCACCTTGAACTACACCCGAGAGTAAAGATGATCCTATACCAGACGCATTTGAAGCGTTCAGTCGGCCAGCAGCTGCTAGTTGCGCAACAAGGGCCGATGCGATAGCCAGAGCGTAAGCACGTGTGTCTGATCCACTTCTTACACCGGAAAGTGCTTGCATAATTGCGTTTCTAGATTTTGAAGCTGTAGCGTAATCTAACTGTAGGCTGGAAGATATAGACTGCGCTAATACTGCAGCTATTCTGTTTGCAACGGATGATGAAACTCTGGCATTGAAAGCGCGTTGGAAGAGATTAGAGCTCAACAAAGCAGATGCAAGATTATTTGCCACATCGGATAATATGCCAGACGGCAGAGCAGCAGCGGACGGTGCACCATAATCAAGAGCAGGACCAGAGACTCCTTCAGTGGTACCTGAAAGTCTTTGAGAAATATCTGAGACGCCTTCAGGCAACAGTGAAGATGCATCTGTCACCTGAGCACCTGTTGGTCCTCCTCTGTATGCAGAAATTGAAGAGGAAATATCTGATGACACATCAACTCCTGACACATCGACACCAGCTTGACTTGCACCAGAATACGCACCTTGAACTACACCCGATAGGAGAGAGGTTCCGATGCCGGATGCATTCGAAGCATTCAATCGGCCGGCAGCTGCTAGCTGCGCAGTGAGAGCAGATGCAATAGCAATGGCATAAACACGAGTGTCGGAACCCGTTCTTACACCGGAAAGTGCTTGCATAATTGCGTTTCTGCATTTTGATGCCGTTCCGTAGTCTAGCTGCAAGCTAGAAGCAATGGATTGCGCTAGTGCTGTAGCTATTCTTTTCGCGATGGAGGAAGAAACTCTGGCATTGAATGCGCGCTGGAAGACATTAGATCTCATCAAGGCAGATGCAAGGTTATTTTCAACGTCAGAAAATTTGCCAGAGGTCACTGCACCACCAGAGGGTGCACCATAATCAGCGCCAAAGGCAGCGATGCCTGTAGAAACTCCGGAAACTCCTTGAGAAATATCTGACAGGCTTTCAGTGAACTGCTGAGCGGCTGCTACATCCTGACTAGCGGTAGTACCAGCTCCGAATGCAGAAATGGAAGAAGAGATATCTGATGACACATCAACGCCTGAAACATCGATACCAGCTTGCCTTGCACCAGAATACGCTCCCTGAACTACGCCCGAAATTAGTGAGGATCCAATTCTAGAGGCATTCGAAGCATTCAGTCGGCCAGCAGCTGCCAGTTGCGTTGCAAGAGACGATGCGATAGCCAAAGCGTAAACACGTGTGTCGGATCCACTTCTTACCTCGGAAAGTGCTTGCAATATTGCGCTTCTACATTTAGCTGCAGTTGCATAATCTAACTGCAAGCTTGAAGGAATGGTCTGGGCTAGTGCCGCAGCTATTCTGTTTGCGACGGATGATGAAACTCTGGCATTGAAAGCGCGTTGGAAAACATTAGATCTCAACAAAGCAGATGCAAGATTATTTGCCACATCGGATAATATGCCAGACGGCACAGCAGGGACGGATGGTACGCCATAATCAGGGCCAGGGGCAGTCATTCCTTCTGTACCGGAAATGGCTTGAGAAATATCTGAAGCACCTCCAGGAAACTGCTTAGTTGCAGCTGTATCCGCACCAGTGATAGGACCTGCTGTGTAAGCAGAAATGGAAGAAGAAATATCAGATGACACATCAACTCCTGACACATCGATTCCAGCTTGCCTTGCGCCTGAATACGCACCTTGAACTATTGTCGACAGGAGAGAGGATCCGATGCTAGACGCATTCGAAGCATTCAGTCGGCCAGCATCTGCTAATTGCGCAATCAAAGCTGATGCAATAGCCAGAGCATAAGCACGTGTGTCCGATCCACTTTTTACACCCGAAAGTGCTTGCATTATTGCGTTTCTACATTTTGCAGCAGTGCCGTAATCTAACTGCAAGCTGGAAGCAATGGACTGCACTAGTGCTGCAGCTATTCTATTTGCAACGGAAGATGAAACTCTGCCATTGAAAGAGCGTTGGAAGATATTGGATCTCAACAGTGCAGTTGCAAGATTACTTGCCACATCGGAAATAACACCGGAAGGCACAGAACCAACGGAGGGTGCACCATAATCAGCACCAGGGCCAGAGATACCTTCAGAAACTCCTGAAACACCTTGTGAAATATCTGAGATACCTTCTGTAAACTGAGAAGCTGCAGATATATCCTGTCCTGCGGTAGAACTCGCTCCATATGCAGAAATGGAAGAGGAAATGTCTGAAGACACATCAACTCCTGATACATCCACACCAGCTTGCCTTGCACCAGAATAGGCGCCTTGAACTGCACCTGACAACAGAGATGATCCGATGCTAGACGCATTCGAAGTGTTCAGTCGACCAGCAGTTGCTAGTTGCGCAGCAATAGCTGATGCAATAGCTAGAGCGTAAACATTTGTGTTCGATCCCCTTCGTACACCAGAAAGTGCTTGCACTATTGCGTTTCTACATTTTGAAGCCGTCCCGTAGTCTAACTGTAAGCTGGAAGCAATGGATTGTGCTAGGGTTACAGCTATTCTGTTTACTACAGATGATGAAACTCTCGCATTAAAAGCGCGTTTGAATATATTAGACCTCAACAAAGCAGATGCAAGGTTATTTGCTACGTTAGATATTAAGGCAGATGGTACAGCTCCACCTGATGGTGCACCATAATCAGCACCCGGGGAAACGACTCCTTCTGAGACCGCTGAAATGCCTTGAGAAATACCTGTAATTCCTTCAGGGAATTGGGATGTTACAACTGTGTCTTGACCAGCTGTAAAACCAGCTGCGTATGCCGAAATCGAAGAGGAAATATCTGATGACACATCAACTCCTGATACATCCACACCAGCTTGTCTTGCACCAGAATAGGCGCCTTGAACTACACCTGACACAAGAGAAGATCCGATGCTAGACGCATTCGAAGAGTTCAGTCGACCAGCAGCTGCTAATTGCGCAGCAAGGGCTGATGCAATAGCCAGAGCGTAAACACGTGTGTCCGATCCACTTCTTACACCAGAAAGGGCTTGCATTATTGCGTTTTTACATTTTGCTGCCGATGTGTAGTCTAACTGCAAGCTGGAAGCAATGGTTTGCGCTAGTGCTGCAGCTATTCTGTTTGCTACGGATGATGAAGATCTGGCATTGAATACGCGTTCGAAGATATTAGATCTCAATAATGCAGACGCAAGGTTATTTGCAACATCGGATATTACCCCTGACGGTACAACACCGGTTGCAGGTGCACCATACTCAGCACCAGGCCCTGTGATTCCTTCAGTCATTGCTGATATTCCTTGTGAAATATCTGAGATGCCTTCAGCGTACTGAGGTGTTAAACTTATACCCTGGCTGGTCGTCTCACCTGCTCCGTATGCAGAAACGGAAGAGGAAATATCTGATGATACATCAACTCCTGACATATCCACACCAGCCTCCCTTGCACCAGAATAAGCTCCTTGAACTACACCGGAGAGGAGAGATGATCCGATGCCAGGTGCATTCGAAGAGTTGAGTCGGCCAGCAGCTGCCAATTGCGTAGCAAGAGCTGAGGCAATAGCGAGAGCATAAACACGTGTGTCCGATCCACTTCTTATGCCGGAAACTGCTTGCGTCACTGCGTTTCTGCATTTTGATGCCGTCCCGTAGTCTAGTTGCAAGGTGGAGGCAATAGATTGCGCTAGTGCTGCGGCTATTCTGCTTGCTACAGATGTGGAAACTCTGGCATTAAAAGCGCGTTGGAAGGTATTAGACCTCAACAAAGCAGATCCAAGGTTATTTGCGACATTAGATATTAAAGAAGAGGATGCAGCAAAACTTGATGGTGCACCATAGTCCGTACCAGGGCCAGTGATTCCTTCAGGGACTCCTGAAATGGCTTGAGAAATATCTGAGATACCTTCACTGTACTGAGCTGTTACAGGTTTGACTTGTCCAGCCGCAGGACCTGCTCCGTATGCAGAAATGGAAGAGGAAATATCTGATGACACATCAACTCCTGACACATCGACTCCAGCTTGCCTTGCACCGGAATAAGTTCCTTGAAGCACACCGGACAGAAGAGTCGTGCCGATGCCTGACGCATTCGAAGCGTTCAGTCTGCCAGCAGAAACTAGTTGCGACGCAAGAGTTGTTGCAATAGCAGTAGCGTAAACTTGTGTGTCGGATCCACCTCTTACACTAGAAAGTGCTTGTATTATGGCTTCTCTACATTTTGAAGTTGTTCCGTAATCTAACTGGAAACTTGAAGCAATGGACTGTGCTAGTCCTGCAGCTATTCTGTTTGCAACCGATGCTGAGATTCTGGCATTAAAAGCGCGTTGGAAGATAGTAGACCTCAACAAAGCAGATGCGAGATTATTTTGCGACATCTGATATTACGGCTGAGGGCACAGCACCACCAGAAAGGGTACCATATTCTACACTAGGTCCAGCCATTCCTTCAGATACCGCTGAAATTCCTTGAGAAATATCTGAGATGCTTTCAGGGAACTGTGGGGTTACAGCTGTATCGAGAGCAACCGCAGGTCCTGCTCCATATGCAGAATTTGAAGAAGAAATATCTGATGTCAGATCAACTCCTGATACATCGATACCAGCTTGCCGTGCACCAGCATAAGTGCCTTGAAGTACACCTGACAGAAGAGAGGACCCGATGCCAGTCGCATTCGAAGCATTCATTCGGCCAGCAGCTGCTAATTGCGCAGCAATAGCTGATGCAATAGCGAGAGCATAAGCACGTGTGTCCGATCCACTTCTTACACCGGAAAGGGCTTGCATTATTGCGTTTCTACATTTTGATGCTGTCCCGTAGTCTAACTGCAAGCTGGAAGCAATGGATTGGGCTAGCGGGCAACTATTCTGTTTGCGACAGATGATGATACTCTGGAATTGAAAGCTCGTTGGAAGACACTGGATCTTAACAAAGCGGATGCAAGGTTATTTGCGACGTTAGATATTACACCAGAGGGTACGGTAACAGCAGAGGGAACACCGTAGTCTGGGGCAGTCTTCGATATTGCTTCATAGCCTCCTGCGAAGTCTTTGGAAACATCTGAAATTCCTTCAGTTAATTGTTGCGTATCAGACGCAGTCTGTGGAGCTGCCGAGCTTGATGCATATGCAGACAGTGAAGAAGAAATATCTGATGTAACGTCAATTCCAGAAAGATCGAGACCAGCTTGCCTTGCCGCAGAATAGGCTCCTTGGAGTGCTCCCGAGAGTAGAGATGATCCGAAGGCGGATGCGTTTGAAGCGTTTAGTCGGCCAGTAGTTGCTAGTTCTGAGATAAGAACCGATGCTATTGCTTGTGCATATACTCTTGTATCAGATCCGCTTCTAATTCCGGAAACTGCTTGTATTATGGAATTTCTGCATTTCGTTGCTGTTGTGTAATCTAACTGCAACTTGGAAATAATCGACTGCGCTAATTCAGAGGCAATCCTTGTTGAAATTGAAGATGGGACTCTATTGTTAAACGATCGCTGAAACAAGTTGGACCTCAGCAGAGCAGATGCTAGGTTGTTTGTTACTTCTGAAATTATGCCGGAAGGAGTAACTGCAGCAGAAGGTGTTCCATAACCTATACCTGAAAGTGCTGTGTCTTGAGGGATTCCTGAAGAAATTTGCGTGGTGCCTGAAATGCCTTGAGAGACTCCTGTGATGGTGTCTGAGATTCCTGTAGGATACTGTTGAGTTAAGGAAGATACTCCGCCCATTGTCCTATCAGGTTCGTAAACTTCAACTTCTATTTCGTTGTCTCCGGTATCTTCGCTTGCTTCCTTAGCAAACATTACAATCAGTCCTTGATTTCTGCAATGAACTGTTTATTTACCGATCCGATAGTTGCCATGAAGCACTGTTTCAACGCTTTTGACAATGCATCTGTTTTTACAGCTATGCCTTCCTGATTGTCAGCATCTTCCGCAATCACCAGTTCAGCCATAGATGACGCAAAAGCCATATTCATCGCTTGAAGCGTTGCACTCGAGGTACTGCGAGAATTGCTCATGCTAGTTATGGCAGACATCATGGTTTCAACAATTGACTCCATATCTTCTTTCTCCTGCTGCGGAAATACTGGAGACTGAGCAATCTTTTGAATCAAGCATTTCATGAAAGCGTTTGCCTTGATGGGGTTTGTCCATGGGCTTTTCGATGGGCTTCCGAAACTAGGACCTTTTCTACTTTCAACAGTAACATACTGCGAGAGAAGAAGAAGAGCAAAACTGAAGCTTGTTAACCAGTTCATGGCTGAAGCGGTCAACTTGTGATTTCGCATATCAGAGTTGAGGTATTTATACTCGCAAAATTTGTATGAAAGCAGCTGAACATATAGTGTCCCCGTAAATGTTTATTGGCGCAGTTTTTACGTAACGTGTATGAAAATACTTCTCTAAATAAACACTGCCATAAATTTTTATTGTCTACTCACGATAAAGCATAGATTACTCAGAGGACTCGGTTTTTACATTTCAGTCGTAATTTATGTGAAAGTTTGTACAGCTTTTCCATTTTTCGAGAAGTAATTTCGATTTGATTTAATGAAAGATAATTTTATATGTAATTAAAAGTAATACCAAAAAATCTCAACAGGTTTCATTATTCTGAATATCATTTAATAACAAGCTAGTATTTTATAAAGAGATCCTTTTCTTTTATCCTTTTTCTTTCTTGTATAGTTTCCAACATTTTATTAAAAGTTTAAAATCTACAGGGAACAGATAATTTAACAGGAGAATTAAGAGGGATTATGATTTTACTTTATTTGATATCAATCTGGCATTTCTTACAGAAATAGAATCTTGTAAACACCATGTAACCTTACTATATATTATGAACCCCAAAATGCAGTTTCGAAAATTTTATAGAACGGAGCAAAATGACTTTAAATATAAGGGTATTAATAATACTTTTGAAATTGGAGTGACTGAAATAAGGTCCTGAAAAATGCAGAAAATGTATTCGTTTTTCTTCAAGTTGCAACTAAAATCGATGGGATTACTTTTAAAATGTGAAGTTATATACAGCTAATTTAAAATGGATATATTTTATATCTTTTTCCAATACTTCTATCCTGGTTACGATAACTTTCGTGAAGAGATTATAAATAAACAGTCTTTTAACGGCTGACATCTTTCAGAAAGGAAGGTAATGATAGTGATTCGTTTTGATTAGAGACTTAAAAGTTATTTACCTAAAATAAGGGATGCCTTTGTGGAGGAATTTCTTAGGAAAATGGCTCATATTCACGTTACTTATAGAGAAAAATATGCTAATTCTAATATTAGCATCAGGTTGCACACGGCAAGACAGAACTACTAAAGAGTTGAAAAGAAGAAAAACCACAACATATCTTATATTCAAATCATGTATGTGATCACAAATTGTCGAATTTTTATGAATACGGAATGTATATGTTATATAATATGTGTTTTAAAGTTCTTATGTCCTCTCATTTTCTCAAACTTTGGCAAAAGGTTTATTCTTATAATTATAAAACTGATTCTTTTTCTCACCAGTAGCCGAATACAGTCTGACCTGGTTTGGACTCAAAACCCAGGCGAAAAAGGCGTGGCTGCATTTATAGTTTTCATGGTTTTCTCCATGTGTAACGTGAACATGAGCCAATTCCCTCAGAAAATCCTTTCAGAAATCAGAAACGATTTCAAGGAACCTTTTTTCTTAAATTCATTTTATTCTCTTTGACTCGGATAAAAGTTTATAACTAATACATCAGTTTATGAACTTTTAAGTATATGGTGAAAGATAAATATGTAAAATGGTATGAAAATCTTTTATCTAGGTTCATGTCTAAAAGTAAGTGCCTGAGATATAAATTTAACTTTAATACGTATACTGTGTAAGTATAACAAAGCTAAGAAAATTTATGAAATTTTTTATTTATAGCAAAGACCCTCATAAATGAAGTCTTTGAAGATCTTTCGGAAGATGTGGATGAAATATAGATAAATGACAATACTTCTTCCGTTATGCAACCTTTAAATTTTCGTTACATAGAAGTGGTTCACATATTCTTTGAATGCAGGAAAATCTTTCAGAAAAAGGTCGCTTTGGAATTTGTTAACTCTTCCTCATTTGCGCGAATCTATATATATAAAGAAGAAAGTTTGAGTGTTTGTCCTCTAATAACTCAGTCACTACTATAGCTATCATCACCAAACTTTCTACAGTTCCTTTCTGGGTCCTGGGAAAGATCGACGTCCTCACTTTTTCAAAAAAAAAAAAAAAAAAAAGTAGTTAAAATCAGAGATTTTTAATTAAAAACTCGGAAAAACGAGTATTTTCGCCTTCATTTTTCCGAGTGGCAACAGTCTCGCAAGCTGGAGATGACAATCTGCTTTATTTCGAAAGTTATTGCCACTGCTCGCTTTCAAATCCTAGAGTTTGTTAATAAAAATTTTCTAAATTTTACGATGAAATAAAAATAACATTGCTAAACATTAAATGCATTATTCTCGATTCCAAAAATTCATGGGAAGCCATTTCGACTATTCGCATCTTCGTACGACTTTAATCAACCGAAATACTAAATAAAAACTCTGAAATCGCTAATTTTCGCACTCATTTTTCCGAGTGGCAACAGTCTCGGGCGTTGGTTATAAAAATGCTTTATTTTCAAAAGTATTGCTACTGCTCGCTTTCAAATCGTAGAGTATGTTAATCAAAAATTTATGAGTTTTACAAAATCTATACAGATAAAGAAGAATGTCTGTCTGATCTATTATGATAAATATTTTGCTACATTTAATCGAACTAAAATTAAATATAGGTGAAATATTGGATGGAACTTGAGCTTTTACGACCATTTGATTAGAAAGACGAAAATCGTTAAAAACTGCGTGCCATTGTAGCTGACATAATGAATTAACTTATTTTTCAAAATGCTTTGTTCTTCAGAACATCCACAAGTTTCATAAATTAAACTTTTAAAATGCCTTCTTCTTTTACGGTCCTAACTGCGAGATATAAATTAAGAACATTGCTATAAACCTCTTCTTGTTAATCGAAAAAGCACTTAATGCTTCTGCTGATCTTATTTTGTCACGAATTCATTAAGCAATTTGGTTCGGTATGTCTTCTTTGTTGATTCGACACTAGCAGTTGACGACAGCAAGGCAACAGCCACAAGCTGGGTAAACTACTTGAAATGTTCCTTGTCGTAAAATTTAAGAAACTAAATCTCAAACTGTGCAATAAAACGAAAGAAATATCACCACCTTGTAATAAAATTTGTTTCATGAATCTTACTGGTAACGTTTATGAGACAAGTTTATTTGATTACCATTAGCAACGGAGAAACATTCGGCGTTTATGACTTCTTGCGAATTTTCGTTGCTCATCGAAAATGTGAAAAAACTTCAGCTGCCTACTTTATGTTTTATTCCCGAAAAATCTGATTCTCCATTTCTTTCAGAGCCAGTAAGAAGAAGTAAAATCCTAAAGAAGCTGAAGTTATTACGGTAAATATAACTCCATTTTTTACTAACATAATAGAAGTCAAATTCAAATTAAATTGAAAAAAAATACAAAAATTTCAAATTCAAAAAAAAATTCTGAAAGTTTCAGATTTTAAATTACGTCCAAAGGGGCTTTTTTAACGATTTGTGTGTTACCTTTATTTATTAAATATCCTGTTCTTCGCACTTAGACCTTAAAATTCACTTCAGCAGAAATATCGTAATTTTATTTTAAAATGAGCATAACTTTAGAATTTCCGATATACAGTTCCGCTCGCTGGAGATAAAAAGTATTTTCCCCCCGTAGAGTGTTGCCATTGCTCTCTAATCTCTTTAAACCGTTGAGTTTGTTAATCAAAAATTCGTTAAAGTTTTACAAAATATGAAATCGATAATAAAACAAATTCCAAATTTGAAATTTGAGATTTCAGATGCCCATATTCGAAGTAGGATTACATCATTCAAAATTGAATGGCTCTAGGTACCGTTGTTTTATCACAATGCGGGATACACACATACATTTATGCAGATTTCTCCATTATTTAATTTCTTCAAATATAATACAGGGCGATAGTATTTCGTGACAACGATTTGAAAAGTGATACGCCGTTTATATGGTTCCGACGCAAAATCGCAAAACGAAAGCAATAGTCTTTCAGGGAACGAAGCCTTTTAAACTAATAATTAAGAAAACGTTAGGTAGAAAAGAATCAACTGTCATGGGAATAATTTTTAAATAAAAAAAGATAAAACATATATTGATGAAAGTATCTCAGTAACATCTCTAGAAATTTACTTGAAGAAATAATGCAACTTAAAAATAAATCAAAAATAAGTAATTGACATTTTCTATTAATTCATTTATTAAAAGCTCAAACCTTCTACAATTCTAGTTTTCTCGTTTTGTATTTTGTTGTTGCTTCATAATGATACGAAGATAGTTATTTAAATACGAGCCAGTTCCTTTAAGAAAGTTGTCTTACGAAAGAATCTCTCCCTTACCTCAGATAGCCTTTGCATGCTTTGCTGAATTCAAACAAGCAAATGAATAATTCTAAGGGAATTTCCGTCGTATTTACGCTGCGCATGAGGAATATGAAAACACTAATGGATTTAGCCCATTTTCACAAGGAATCGATTATTTTCGTTCAATGTTTGCAACTATAAGTGAATAGCAATAAATATTTCTAATTCTCTTTAGCCCAAAGGGCGTTAGCCCAGAAGGGCTATTAATTTCTTTTTGGCATTTTGCGTCGAAAACTTTAAAAGTCTGATTTACTTTTCAAATTGTTGCCACCAAATATTATCTACCTGTGTTATGTTTAAAGAAATTAAATAATGAAGAATCTGCATAAATATATGTATGTTTCTCGCATTGTGATAAAACAACGGCACCTAGAGCCATCCAGTTTTGAATAACGTACGTCTCCACCCGAATATGGGCAACTGGAAGCCCAAATTTGAAAAGAAAGAAATTAAGAAACTCTACGATTTCAAAGCGGGCAATTGGCAACAGTGTACGAAAAAAAAAAAAAAAAAAAAATTTATCTCCAGTGCGCGAGACTGTGTATCGGAAATTCTAAAGATATGATCTTTTAAAATTATTTAGCGATATTGCTGTTGAATTGAATTTTATGGTTTAAGTGCAAAGAACATGATATTTAATAAATAACGATAACACACAAAACGCTAAGAAAACGCCCCTTTGGGCATAATATGAAATCTGAAAATTTTATTACTTTTTTGTTTCTTTTATTAGGTTTTTTTAGTCACAAAGTTTGTTTTCTGATCATTTACTATTAATTGCTACATCGTAAATAAATTTTTAAAAAGATTTGAAAGCAGTTTTTATAAACTAAAAGCAATTTTTATAAACTCATACAGCTAAAAATATAACTATGGTAATAGGTAATCAGTTTTGAAATTATGGAGTACAACTAAGTATATTATTATCATAAACCGATCTGTAAACTGTATGATATATGTCGAATTCTTTTAAAAATATACATATGGTTTTCAAGAAGAAAACCTTTTGGTTAACTTAGCTTTGGCATATAGCTGGTAGCATCGGCAATAATATCGGCATAGCTTTAGCAGTTTAGAAAGAAAAGAACTCAAAATGGTGGTCTTACTTGAGGAAGAAGTTTTAAGATGATGATTGATTTAATTAATATGATCTTTATATGGTTTGAAAGAAAAGTGTTGAATATGATGTTTAATTTGTTTAGAGAAGATCAGTATTTCAAAGGCTGGGACAAGTACTAAATTCATAATTTTATGAACAGTTTTTAAGTCGGGGAAGAAGGGTGATTGATCCTGGTACCGCCGCCGACTGGGGTTCTATCCATGGAGGTAGGAAGTAAGATGGAGTCGCCCTAAACAAGTTTCTCCCGTACCCTGCTCTGAAGCACCGGCGATCCCTACGTGGTGACCAAAACATTGGGTCATTTACCATTGAGTTCAATGGGATTTGACGCGTTCGGGTGTAAATATTTTGTAATTACGTCGCAAATATACATATAAATGTATATATTTTCTTTTTCTACAACACTTCAGAGTCCTAAGTATGTGAAAACAACATATTTTTAAACAACATTTCATTCTGAACGGAATTAAATGCTATACTTTTCACAGGACAGTTTTCTCAGAATGGTTTAATTTGAATGAAATATTTTCACAAGTTTTTCGTTAATTACATTAGGAAAAAAAATTAAGGTAATTCGATTTTATTCGGTTAAGGTACAAAAATTAAGATCAAAGTTTATTGTATTATTAATATTAAAATTATGCATTATTTCTTTTCTATTTATAGAGCTTCTTCCTAAAATACTTTCTTAAATATGACATGATTTTTTGGTTTCTGAGGCGTCTTTTAAATCGAAAAATGTAAGTCCATTTATAATTAATGCTCTATTCGGTTCATTTTAAATTAGAGAATTATTAGGAATTAGCGAAATACTTTAAACAGTACTTGACTTTCTCTGAACATTTCTGAAAGAGAATAAAATAAGTTTTTTTTAAAGTATTATTTAAAACTTGTAACTGAGTTATTATAAAATGTAAGGGGAATAATTCTTTTAATTACACTTATCAGATTTTTTTTACCCTTCATTTCAACAATACATATTCCAAAATTCTTTATTAGGTTCTTAAGTGCGCATCTCATAGCATTTGCTTTACAATACCTTTTAACAGATTGCTTTCCAATACGAACAATTCTTGCTTAAATAGTTTTATAACGTCAACAGGATTTCAATTTATGTTTACAATTCAATATTAAGGTTATTATATATTTAGATAAAATTTATAATCATTATAAATTAGATACATTTAATTATTAGCTTTCTTCACAGTACTTTCACAGTTGTTTATAAGTGAATACATTCTTCCTTTCAAATAAATTTATAAATAATTTAATGAATATTTAAGTATTTTGTCAAAGGCAGATACATGCTTTTTGCAAGCACATGCATAAATACCCATACATATTTCCTATTTTTCATTTCCGGCATGTTATAAAACAAATTCATAATCAAAATCGCCGTTGTAGTTATCGAAAAATAACCAAGATGTGATTTTTGCGTAAATGTCACTAAACTATACAAATTGCTATTATCCATCACATTATGAATGTTTCTTTCATGCAAAGTGTCCCTTTTTCGATTTCTATGGAACTGTCGTGTGTCGAAATACTATCAGAATCTTGTCAAGCGAGCTTCTGAATGTAAACAAAGAACACCCCATCTGGTGACCCAAGCTTCAAAGCTGTGCTTCACTTTTAGCGCGGGTTGGCCCCTCCTCCCTTTCCTACCTCCATGGTTCTATTCCTCAAAAAATGGAGTGAAACTGGGCAAAGTCGTACTGTCACCTATATAATGTCCAGGTCTTGCGAACGACAAGCGCAATCATTTACTCGTCGCCACGACAAAATTCATGGGTTTCCTCTGATAAGTCAGACAAATGAGATAAGGTACGACAAAAATTACTGAAATTCTATCCGTGAACGTTCATTTTGAAATTTGGGTTTCACCATGTGTTAGAATAAGACATGGTGAAACCCAGATTGATTTTTCTCGTCGTAATTGATTTTTCTCTTGAATCGGGAAAATCATAAAGTTTATAATTTCATTATTTACTTAATAGATGGAATAGAAAATCGTTAATCTGAGTTTTAAAAGTATGCGAAATTCAGTTTTACAGAAAATGTTGGCTTTGGAGTGAACCTTCATGCAGTTCGAAGAATTTGACGTAGATCTTTGAAGTGCATTTTAAGTTTTTTCTATCAAGCCAACATTAATTTTAAGTTTGGTTTTTACAATTTAAATGTTCATTTTTTTTCTTCGATAAGCTTAATTTAACATGTTGACTGCCTAATAAAAATCGTGTACAATACACTGACGAGCCATTAACTCTTGTGTTTTCTTGTCCTGTTTATCCTAAAAATTAATTCAGTTCCTAGTTTTACTGACAGATAAATAATAATTATTTGAAACTTACTGCAGCAGAATATACTTTTAAATCATCAAACAGTTTATAAAAAAAGCTTTCAGAAGCTGAAAACCAAGAATACGGAGAACTTTCAGAAGACCGTAGAAATAATTGTAACCGTATACATATATGCGTGTTTATAAAGCGCGGTGAATAACATAGTTTCGAACGATACTAAACCTGTGAATCACATTCGATGCACACAACTCCGAAAACTGAGGCTATTGTGAATCACCGGTAATGCATATGACACTCAAAGCGTTAAAAATTTCCCTTTGCTTTAAATTTTGATTGTTTTTTTTGGTTTCCTTCAAAAAAGGGGTTACTTATTTCTCTTCATAAATGTCCGTTATGAAGTCTTAAAATTGATTAATTTCGTTTCTCACCTTAAAAGACGTGTTACTACAGTAAAACTCCACTTTTTTGAAATATGCTCAAGGCAAATGCAGAGAAGAAATAGCATTACATCAGCGAATCTTCAAATCAGGCACTCTAATTCTTTTAAATGAACTTTT